ATTTGAGGTAACATTGTGTGAGGAAATGGAAACTCTGATAAAAAAAAACATAAAACTAAGAGTATAAGTAAGAAACGAGAAAAAAGAGAAGCAAAAAGGGAAAAAGAAAAAGAAGTGATAGCCATGCTTAAAAAGGAAGGGGAGGACATATTAAAAAATATAAAACAGGCCAGAAAAAAACTGAAAGAGGCAGACAAAAATACGAAGAAATAGGAAAGATTATTTTCTGAGCCGCCCCCCTATTTGCCCACAGAGGGAGAGTTCCCAATCCTAATAAGAGGACACATTAAAAAGTATAAAACAGGCCAGAATAATACTGAAAGAGGCAGACAAAAATATGAAGAAAAAGGAAAGGTTATTTTCTGAGCCACCCCCCTATTTACCCACAGAGGGAGAGTTCCCAATCCTCAAGGGAACAGTAGAAGTAACAGGAGAACTGGAAATGGAAGGACAAGTAGAGTTGGAAGAAGGAAGAAAAAAAAAGGAACCAGCTGTAAAAACAAAGAGGCAAGAGAGAAAAGAAAGTGAAGGATATTTACAGATGGATTGTTATAGACAGGCCAGCATAGCATTAGAAAAGATGAAAACAACCCAAAATAGAACAAAATTTGAGGAAGTGTTACAAGAAATAGAAGAGAAAATTAAAGAATCAGGAAAAAAGATACAAGAGGTAAATAAATTGGAAAGAGGGAGAAGTAAGTTGTTCGAAAGTACTGAGGATGTGAGTGAAAAAGAGGAGTTATTTGATAGTGGAAAATGGGAACAGGAAACTATGGGCAAACTTTTGGCTGTGGGGGACATTAAAGCTTTGCTGGCTAAAATAATAGGAGGGACAAAGATGGATGAAATTCTTCAAACAACTACTCTGGACAGAGCAATGAACTCTCATAATATGGATGGAATTGTTTTGGATGCATTCCGTCCAGCAGTGTGGCAGGCACTGTGTGCAGAGTAAAAGGACAGAGAAAATCCAACCACAAATGTACAGAGACAGCTGAAAAGGTGGAAACAAGAGACTGAAGGGAATCCAGAAGGAGACCCATTAATGGCAACATTGTTTAGACATGCTGTGATTGATGCTATGCCGCCAGCTGTCAAGAGCAGGCTGGAGGATGTGGTCGGTTTAAACTCTAAAACACACAAAGTGGAAGGGGGGAGAGCTGGCAACAGCCTAACCGAGGTACATTATAGGGCCCAGTAAACCCTTGGGGAGGTCCCAATCCAGGCTATTAGGGGTGCCC